ATTTTTTATTCATCAAACATTTCAATGGTTCAAATTGATTTTTTTGTAAAATTATTAATTTTACATGGAATATATAAATAAAATATTATAGTTTTAAATTATTTAAATCAAATTTTAATGGTTCAAATGTATTTATAGATCTTATATAAAATTAAAATAATAATATTATCACATATTAAATATGAACTGTTAAAATTTTAATCTAACATGAGAATAAAATGAGAGAAATGAAGAGTAAGGCCAAAAAAAAAAAAATCATTCTTCTCCAACTTAGTGTACTCCATCTTCATTAAACTATGGCCCACGCCAACTTTACCAAAAACCGATGGATATCTCCCCCAACGAACCACCCACACATGGAGATATTGGGTGGACCCGCAAGTTGCCAACCCAATTCATTGCATTCAACACGTCATGATTTAATATTCTTTGTTCGAGTTCAAAGACCCAACACCCACTGCAGGTTGTGGCCCGTGCTCACATGCAGCTGCTTTCTCATGCTCTGTTGCCTGAAAAGTTATGGGTGTAATGGGGAACAGCGCTCATTGTGTGTTGTTGAAACTTAAAACAAAGCAAAGAAATATTACGAGGCATGATCTGTCTAACATGCTTACTGTTTCATTTGCTGGGTTGCTTTCTCGGCTTTGGCATTTAAAACAAAAAAAGCAAAAATGAAATAGCAAAACACACCTAGACATATTTCATTAAGTCGTTGCATCCTGCAACCAAAACCACGCTCCAAGAATTACCTTGAGGACTGAAATTTTTCACTTGGATAGGGTGGCGCGTATTGTCGAGCTTGGTGGTGCCATGAGAGTTGGTTGTTTGGACCACAAATTGAGTTGATATGATGAAAAGTCACTTGATTACTTGAACTCAAATGATGACTGGGGTTGATGCAGAGACCTAAAATTAAAATAACAGTTTAAATTTGCATGACGAGAGGCTGTCATGAGCTCATAGTTACGCAGATGCCATGCTCCATGAGCCTCATTAAAACCGTAGGGGAGGACCCCACAACCTTATACTTCATCGATAGGTGTGGTGAATTATGGGCCGTACAGTTCTTCGATCAATACTTTTGCATCCACGCAGCTTGGCTTTCAAGTTTGAACACATGGATTTAAGACCATGCTCTTATGACTTCAATATACTTCAGTCTACTGTGTAATAAGCGCGAGCGACGGGCAGAGATCGGATTGATATTTCAAAAACCGAAGGTATAGCCGTATAGGAATGAGCCCTTTAATTACATTTTGGAGACTGTGGTTCTTCTTCTCTATTTATGCATGCTTAATATTGTATTTTTAGCATTACGTCAATAACAAATAATTGATGTACCATAGAGGAGAAAGAATTACGTTCATGATACAAGACGGTAGAAATTATTGGGACACGTTTTATTTATTATGTAATTAAGAATAAACGAAAAAAACTAAAACCAGCACAAGAAATGGAAACCTCATATAGATCAGTCAAAATGAGAGATTGAACTCTTATAAATTCGAGAAAAAGTTGAGAGGTTGAATTTTATAAATTCGAAGACATGTTCTTTGATAGCCATCTTTTTAGATCATGTCGCTTCGGCCTCAGAGGAAAAAGAAAAGTACTGGACAACCAGCTGCCTGATGACAAGTTTCAAGTCCGCGCGTGGCGCAGTTCCATACCCAGAAAGCGAGGAGGCAAAGTGCGCCAAACGACTCTGCGCTTTGCTTTTGCAACTTGGTTTTCCCATTTTTAAAGGATAAATCGATCCATGAAAAAGCTGAAAGTGCGAGTAGGGGTGTTCACGGGACGGGACAGAATCGGGACACCCCCGTCCCGTGTCCCGTCCTGAAAAAAAGATCGGGACTGAATTTTGATCCCGTGTCCCGTCCCGTCCCGAAAGTCGTCCCATCCCGTTAAGAGTCGGGACGGGACCGGGACAAGATCAGGACGTCCCGCCGTCCCGATAAATGGAATAACATCGAAAAAAGATCTGAATAATAATGTTCATTAAAATTTTAAATCATATAATTTATTAAGTTTAAAATCAAAACAACACAAGCACATAAATAATAATAATTTAAAATTAATTATTGAATTATATTAATCGTAACTACATATTATAATAACAAATACAAGTGATTTTTATGCTATAAGATTAGCAACAGGCAAGTCAAACACAACATCAAATCATTATTCTTCTATTTTAGTGAAGGTGTACTAAGCTAATTACTCTTCTAAAAATAAGCAAGAAATATGTTATAAATAAAAGTTATTAAATAGATAGATATAAGAATAAATTATATTAATATAATTAATATATTATAAAGAAAGATATCGCCATATTTACTCCATGCCATTAAAATTATCAATATAAAAAACTTTAGTTTTAAATAAGAATTGTAAGTATTAAAATTATAATTGATATAATTAATATAAGTATAAATTATATTAATATAATTAATATATTTAAAATAAAAAATAATATATATAATATTCAGGACGGGACGGGTCCCGTCCCGAACCCCTTTTCTGTCCCGTCCCGTAAAGTCCCGTCCCGATTATTTTCGGGTCGGGACAAGACCCGTCCCGATATGATCGGGATGATACCGGACCAATCGAGACGGGTCTAGGCTGAACACCCCTAAGTGAGAGATTGAACTTTATAAATGCGGGAAAGGAGACAATCTTCCGCAACCAGGTTCACATCTTGTTGCTTGGGGCCCAGGAAACACGAAATCTCTGTTGCTGGCCCTAAAATTGGAGTATCAAATGAAACTAGATGGAGGTAAAAAGATACACTGCACTCATGGGCATGAAAATTAACGTGGGCCCGTGACATGCATATTTTGCCCCCCCGGAATCATCTGAAAACGTCACAAAAATCAAAATTTGTTTCCAATCAAATTGAGCCAATGCATGGGATGGGAACCAGCTGTGCCTATGCCCATGTAAATGTAACCTGATTGCAATGCTATTTCTGACTTAAGACGGTAAATCTATTTTGACCTGCACATTTTCGTTTCTTTTTCCTAAACTGGAGATGAAAGAAGAATAACTATAACTATTTTATGTAAAGGCATAACCTGAAAAATAAATATCCCATTTCTACGTTTTTTATAATGTAAACTTGATAAAAAATGGATAAGCTAGCTGTTTGGACTAAATATGAAACATCGTTCAAATAAGTTACATGGTTAGTTGGGTTGAGTGATTGAAGTATCAGGCTCAGTATAAACGAAAGAGGTCGGCCCTAAGGTTCAATAAAAGCCACAATAAGTAAATATGCCGAAATCCCATCAATTACAAATATTAGATTATTGGCACAAAGACATGATCTTAAATAATGCCAAAATCTATGCCCAAGTATTTCGATGAAACAAGTTGGTTATCAAAATGGAGAGTATGAAATAAAAATCATGCCATGAGTTTTGTAGGATCCTTGATTTTTTGGCAAAACGTGCTAGATTTAAAAAAAAAAAAAGCTAATGCTATTCTGACATTATAAATAAAAGAAGAAAATATAAAAAAAACTAGTCAACACTCTATCAAAGACTCACAAAATTTACATTCGTTAGCCTTTTTTAGTTTTCAATTTTCAGTTTGTAATATTTTCACATTTTAATAAAAAATTATACACTTATTACGCCAAAAGCCTTGTATCTTTTTACATCCGAGTAAACTATGGTAAAAAAACTCAAAACTTTTTATTATCAATTGAGACTCAATATCTCTGGTACATCTGATATTTATTATTTTGCCACGAACACTAACCAATTATGTTATGGCATGAATCTTTTGTCTGGGGCTTAGGTCAAGTAAGACGAACCAGAGTTCAGTTTATTCCTTTTGCTTGCTTCTTTAATTTGCCACGTTCTTTGAAAACGTATGCATGAAGTTTCCTATATTGTGATATTTATTTATAAATTTACATTAATTAATAAATCCAAACAGATTAATCTTTATGATTTTATATGAATCATGATAAATGGGCCATACAAGTAAGCCTAATGGATAGAGTCTCAACCTATAACTTTATAGCCATCAATTATTCTCTATCTCTTAACTGACTAAGTCAGGGATAATAAAATATAATTAATTAATTAATTTAATATAATTGTTACTGATCTGATTCATATAAGCTAATCAGTCAATAACTATAAACACACAATAGTTTTCATTTATCTCTATTATCTTTAAACTCTCTGTAAAACTACAAGGATCCAGTGAATTGTGCATCTGTCTATACTTGAGATAATTGACCTATCTCAAGTGATTATAGATTTTTCAAGTATGCACATATTACTCTAATCAATCTTATATGATACATGAATTGAGATATTATGTTAACATCCTCTGTATATATATATATATATAACATATCTTTATATAAAACCAAAGGATTAAGGGAAAACAAAAATATGTAATGAAAAAGCACATTTATTAATTTTGTTTGGCTCGAGCACATTTATTAATTAACAGGACTTTAAGATGAAATCTGAATCTGAATAAATATAAATGCGAGTTTTACTTGATCAACAAGCATATTAGTTTATTGGGGATCGGTGGTGGATAGTCTTAAAAAAGTACCAATTTGACTCATGACAATGCCATGCAAGAATTTTTCTATTATAATACAAATACATAATATAATTTCTGCAGATATGTACCAATGAATACGCCAAAGAAAGACAAAAAGACGAGACCATCCTCGGTTCTAAGTGACCAAGGAGGGTACTTTTGTGATTGCGAGGCTATCTACTCAACCGCGTCCGGTCAGGTCAACGAGGTCAATGGTTCAGGAAATTCCCGGGTTGGTTCTCGGGTGTGGACTGTGGAGTGACACTCCTATTCCGTTCCCATTTTCTAAAACAGCATACTTCGTCGACGTTCAACTCAACCAAACTAATTGGTCATTGCTTCCTTTAGTTAAAAAAAAAAAAAAAAATTGGTCATTGCTTCCAGTTCCTTGAATTTTTTTTTTTTTAACGAGTTCTTGTCCCTTTCGTTTGAATATTCTTCCTCATTCTCTCCCTTTTTAAAGAAGCACAACGCCTCCCGTGCATCCAAATCCATTCCACGATTTTCTTCCCTGCTCGCTTCATTATCCCAGAAATGGCCTTCTTCTCTTCCTCTTCCGCTGAAACCAACCTTGCCACCGCCAAGACGTTCTTTTCAACGGCCGCCTCCGTCGTGGCCACCGCAATGCTTGTCCGATCAGTGGCGCGGGACTTCTTGCCCGCTGAAATTCAGGACTATTTCTTCGGCGGTATCCGTGGAATCTTTCATCGATTCTCTTCTCAACTTACCATCGTCATCGACGAGTTCGATGGTCTCGTGAGCAACCGAATCTACGACGCGGCACACACTTACTTGGGCAAAAAAATCTCCCCCTCCACGCGTAGACTCAAAGTTAGCAAGCCTGATGTTGAGAAGGGCTTCGCGATCACCGTGGAACGCGACGAGGTCATCGAAGACGTGTTCGATGGCGTCAAATTCAAATGGGTCTTTATATGCAGGGAGGTTGAGTCTTTTCGCAATCCGAGAGACTTGAATTCGACGCTGCGGTCTGAAGTCCGATCTTTGGAATTGAGTTTCCACAAGAAGCACAAGGAGTTGGTGTTAACGTCGTACCTTCCCTTTATTATGCAAGAAGCGCAATTAATGAAGCAAGAAGCGAGGGCCCTGAGGATCTTTACGGTGGACTACGAGGGTATGTACGGGAATCTGAACGACGCGTGGATCCCAACGAACCTGGACCATCCGGCAACGTTTGAGACGGTGGCATTGGACCCGGAAATCAATAAATTCGTGCTGGAGGATCTGGAGAGGTTTGTGAGGAGGAAAGAATATTACAGGAAGGTAGGGAAGGCGTGGAAGAGAGGGTATTTGCTGTATGGGCCACCTGGAACTGGGAAATCGAGCTTGATCGCTGCAATGGCCAATTACTTGCATTTTGACATATACGACTTGGAGCTGACGGAACTAAGATGCAACTCGGAGCTCCGACGGTTACTGATTGCTATGGCAAATCGGTCCATTCTAGTTGTGGAAGACATTGACTGCACCATTGAGCTCCAGAATCGCATGGCAGAATCAACGGCCGCTTCAGGATCTGGATCCTCACAACCACAGGTTATTTAATAATCTACCCTTGTCTTTTCCATTTGGTTTATGACGAGGTTTAGGGCCAATATGTAGGAAATCCGAACTTGCGCTTTGAGATTTGTTATTGAGTTCCCCGGAGAGTCTCTGTTTTTACTAGGAAATTGACGCTAATGCTGCAAAAAAAAAAAAAAATATATATATATATATATATATATATATCCAAATACTACACTTTTAAAAATATTTTTTTATATACTATAAATTTAAAACTCGATTTATATCAAACCAAATTTTAAATTTTTTTAATATTGCAATACAGAACTCGGTCTATACTAAATTAAGTTTTGTATTTATATGTATATAAACAAAAAAGCAAAATGTAAGTTTAGGCTACTTCGTACCTCACTTCCCTTATTTCTGCACGTTCTCTAATGATAAACATTAATATATGGTTGTCTCTTTTACTTTCAACATATGTTTTTTCTTTTTTTCTTTTTTTGGGGTAAAGAGGACCCAACAATGTAATTAAATATATATGTGTATATATAATATAATAACTAAATAATTAGTAACAACATAAAATTATATAAATTTAAATCATAATAAATAATTTTAAAGTTAGATTGTTAAAGATTATTTTTTCCTTCACTGTTTTTCTAGCAACGTCCTATACAGTGAAGCAATATCATTTTTAAACACTTTATTTGTTTAAAAATAGAAGGTATTTTTAATCTTTTGAAGTATAATCATTATTTCTTACCAAAAGTATCCTCATTGAATAAATCACTATATGTGTATTTTAAGAGTCTAATTTTTTTTCAATCGAATCTCACTTCCTAATAACATAATTACTCGTCTTTAAATTAACATTTTTTTATATTTATTTTTATTTAATAAGGTGTTTATTCCTAAAATAAATATAAAGTGATTTATTCAATAATGGTACTTTTGGTAAGAAATAATGATTATACTTTAAAAAATTAAAAATATCTTGTATTTTTTAACAGATAAAGTATTTACATATGATATTGCCTCATTGTATAGGACGTTGCTAGAAAAACAATGAAGGGAGAAATAATCTTTAACAATCTAACCCTAAAATTATTTATTATGATTTAAATTTATGTAATTTTATGTTGTTATTGATTATGTAGTTATTTTATAATTTTTATAATTTTTGAAGTATATAATTATTATAATTATAATTAAAAAAATAATATATTATTTTTTGATACATAAAATATTATTTATATTATACATATATACATACATACATATACATTGTTGGGTCCTCTTTTGCCAGAAAAAAAAAAAAGAAAGAAAAACCGTACACCGAAAGCAAACAACTACATGTTAATGCTTATCACTGAAAAACGTGCAAAGATAAGAAAAGTAAGGTGCAAAGTAGCCTACATCTACATTTTATCTTTTATTTTTTATATATATAAGTATAAAACTCGGTTTAGCATGGACCGAGTTCTGTATTGCAAGATTAAAAAAAAAATTAAAATTTAATTTGATATGAACTAAATTTTAAATTTATAGTATGTAGAGATATATTTTTAAAAGTGCAGTATTTGGGTGGATAATTTTTTTATTTTTTTTGGTAGCAGAATCGTCAATTTGCCGTTTTTACTTCTTGAAAATATTCTGAACACTCTAGGCCAAGATTCGCTGGGTTTAACTAATTATACTGTAATGACACGCTTCTTGACTTGTTCTTGTGTCTTTTGGATGTAGCAGGTGACACTGTCGGGGCTATTGAACTTCATTGACGGGCTGTGGTCAAGCTGTGGGGACGAGAGGATTATAGTGTTCACAACCAACCACAAAGAGAAGCTTGACCCTGCATTGCTGCGTCCCGGTCGTATGGACGTTCACATCCACATGTCCTACTGCACTCCCTCTGTGTTTAGGCAGCTTGCTTCTAATTACCTTGGACTTAAGCACCACTCTCTTTTCTCTCAAGTCGAAGAAGCCATTCTTGCCACCCACGTCACTCCTGCTGAAGTGGCTGAGCAACTCTTGAAGAGCAGCGATCATCACTCTCTTCTTCAAGACCTTCTGCACTTTCTTGCGCAGAAAAAGATGGAGAATGAAGAGCTTGAGGCTAAAAAGAAGGAAGAAGAACTTCTGTCGAATGATAAAGAAAAGCAACCAGCTGATGATCACGACAAACTAGTGGATAAGGACAAAAGAGAAAGGGATGTAGCAGTTCAGCAAACCATTGAACTATGAGCTTGTATTTTTTATTGAGTAGGTCCTGGATTTCTCTTTAATGGAGGGAGGGGACGGAGTGTTGTTTAACAAACCGATCGAAGCCAGATTAATTGATGGCATAGGGAAAGAGGACCTTTTTTTCGAATTCTGCTGTATATCAAACTTGATTTTCCCTTGTATCAAAGCAGGCGAGTTTCTTGTATATCGTGTCAGAGTACAAGCAAAATTCGGTCAAAGTTCAAGATCCTCGTGCTTCTACTTTTTTCCCTCTATCAGCGCGATCATTTTGTGCTGATTTATTAGGGTGGATGGTAAATTCTGGGTTTTCTTGCGAGCATAGATTTCTGCGTTCCAACTCACTGTCAAAATGCAAGGGAAACCCAAAAGCGATTCGTCCTCTGTGGCCTCCAATTAAGAATTCAAACGGTACACTTAACAAGGACGTTAAATAATTTTAATCTCTTGATAGCGTAGTCTATACATCCCTAACCAAGCAGCGTTCATGTTGGTAGCAAGAAGACACAAGACGTGAAATAATCCCCGAGTTTCTTTTGCCTCCCTATTCATGTGGCACTTGTGCGGAATTGACACGAGGACGAATTGACAATGGAATCATTCTTATTTCTACGGCTAGACAATCGGGTAAAATAGGCCACCAACTTTCCTCGGGTCTTTAATAATTCGGGACGCGAAAGCTACTCCACGTTGTCGTGGGCCATTTGACAGCGCAAGTAAAATCATGCGAGTCAGAAAAATATTATTTTAGTCTGTGTTTGTCCATGGCTTAATGCACCCGGCGTCGACCGACTAATTTATTCGGGCAAAGCTAAAGCCTACCCGTAAAAGTCATGCGCGATATTATTCGTTTCTCTCCTTTCTTATGATAAAGAAAACTAGAAAAGTGGGCTGGAGGTGTCAACTAATGACAAGTGCTTTCGTTCCCAAAATTTTCTTAAAAAAAGTTTGCTAGATATTGATGTCGACTTCTCATTCAGTGTCATATGATGAAGCAGGAGGTTTGGATTCTCCGGTGCCACCATAGTGTCGGTAAGACGGTAACGCTCTATGATATATTCCATTACAGGCTGGAGGCTTTCTGAGAACTTTTGTTAAGCGCTTGAGTTCTCCCCGGAGATTCCTTCCATCTCTTTGAAAAAAGGAACTTGAGTTTTATTTCTCTGATTTCTAATTATTAATCAAGCAATCTTTTTTTGAGGGCGTGCCGTGCAGAAAATACTGTCAGGGCTCGGGTTTGGCTTAGTAAAGTTATGTGGGATCACGGAATATTCTGAGGCACATCAGGAAGTTCTGCACAGCGCATCAGAAAAACTTTGTTCTGTTCTGAGCCCGAATCAATGAATCGAAACAAGAAGGTGAAAATATCAATCCTATTGAAAACACATGTGCTTTCACGGAAACTAACTACTTTGTGGATTCGTCGTCTCACTTTTCTTTCAAATAATCCGGGCGTTCATTGTTCCATCAGTGTTTTCTCCTCAAGTAACCAAAACAAAACAAAACCGTTGCTTGCATTTTTCTGCTTTTTATGTGAAACTGAACGTAAGAGTTCAGATGCATAGTCATCGCGGAAGCTAAAGTTCCAAAATTTACAGCCAAATCTTGCGGCTAGAAAATCAATCCCCGTCAAAACAACAATGCAGAATGAACTGAAGTGACCGCAATAGGAAGGGGGAAGCTTCCTTCAAATTTCGGAAGTGACAAATGCAACTAGTTTAGTCCATAAAAAGTCTGAGGCTTCCCCGAAAATTCAAAAGAAAGAAACAAGTTGAACAGGCAAGTGTTGTTGATTAGTCATTTATTTCCGTGCCCCCGAAGCATAGAATTACACATGTGATTAGTGGAGACTTTCCAACGCTCGGCTTTTGAGAATGAATTGACCATCGCACCTCCATTAGCACACAACTGGATTGGATTTTCATTCACCAGGGAGGAGGAGCTTTAAAGATAGGAAGAAATCGAGTCAGAGTGAGAAGTTTATGCCTCAATAATAGACTGGTGTCAGGATCAGTGTGGCTGTTGTTTTGTCCCAGTTGGATGTCCAATCCGGTTTTGGTGCCCATCATGGTGCAGATCACATAATAAGCAATTGAACCGTCTTGATTTCTATATTTTAAAATTTTATTTTTTATATTTATTATTAAAAAATGAAAAAAATTCAGTAAATTTATCATATTATTAATCTGAACAATATAAATTTAATTTAGATGGTTCAATTTAATATTAATTTTTTTATAATTTTATAAATTATCTATTTAGATGTATTTTGAATTGTTTGAATTTAATAATAAATTTTTTTAGAATTTTATAATTCTTATTTTAGTGAATATAACATTAAAAAGTAAATATAAAGATAATATTTAAACTGACATTTTTAAAAAAATAAAAAAATTTGTAATTTAAAAATTTTAAATTTACACTATTTAGAATACATTTGAATAATTAATTTATAAAAATTATAAAAAAATTAATATTAAATTAAGCTATACATATTAAATATTATCCAGATTATGATAAGATAGATTTATTAAATTTTTATAACTTTTATAATAAATATAAAAATAAAATCTTAAAATTTGAACCATCTACATTGCTCATCAAGTGATGTTGCTCATCTAATTTAAACGGTCAAGATTACTCATCAAATGACGGGCTCAACATCCACTAGCTTAAATTTCATATGCACGTGTTGCTCGAACATTGGGAAACTGAATCGTGCGTCGTGTTCGTGGGTTCTGTAACGCTTATCCTACGTACAGTAAACGAAGCCATGATCGAATGCACTGTTCTCACTCGAGGACACCGGTTATTCTCCACTTGTGCGGTCACTTGCACGCCACATGTTACCATTTGTAGCAAAAAAGGAGCCTTGTTCTCTTGGTGTTTCATAACCATGCCAGCGTCCATCCCCAATCCATGATAGATAAATAAAACTTATAGCAAGTCAGCATAATAATTAACGTGGCTCTTATATTTATTTATTTATTTCAAACGTGTCATCGGTATTATGTTCTATCTAGTGTGAAGTTTTTTACCAACCAAACTAATCGAATCTAATATTTTATTAAAAACATAAGACAGCCTGAAAGTTTTAACGTTCTTTCAAGTGTACCTGAATTTTGTTTCAAATTCAATGTAAACGAATTTTCTCACCCAAAATAATTAAATTTTTAAAGAGAAAATTACTTCTTTTAATTAAAAAAACTTGAGAATGCTTGTTCTTTTGACTTTCAAAAATAACCAAATTATTTTGAGTAGTTTTTAAAAATAATGTTGATGAAAATACGAAGATATATATCTGGCATAGCAAAATCATGAAAATTTATTAAATAATAAATCATTTTTATAATTATAAATAAATAAATTTAGATTTAAAACTAATCTTTTTACTTCAGTTGAGATTAGCTCAAAAGAGAGTAAGATGTGAATAAGTAATAATACTTAAAGGGTTTAAATCATGCCGAAGAAATAAATTTTATTTTTTAAACTACTAGATAAAATGATAAATAGAAAAAGTGGGAGATATTAGATCCGCGCATTACGTCCAGTTTTAACGCATTAGCGGAAAAAAAGTGCGCACCCTAGCGCATGGGATCACTGGGAGGATCCCACTCACACATGCAGGAGCATAAATATAACACCTCATGTTATTGTTTTTGGTATGCGAGTGAATGAAACTTAGAATTAGGATTCTCCCCCTCTCCCTCCCTCTGTTCATCATGTTTTCCGCCAGAGACATGCCTTCTCCGTCCTCAATTTTCTCGGCCTATGCCTCCATGACTGCCTCCGTCATGCTGTTCCGTTCCCTGGCCAACGACCTCATACCTCATCCCCTTCGAGGTTACCTCCTTTCCGCTTTTCGCTATTTCATCAAGTCTTCCTCCACCGCTCTCACTCTCGTCATCGAAGAATCCACCGGAATTACTCGCAACCAAGTCTACGAAGCTGCAGAAGTTTACTTATCCACCATAGTTAGTGCCAATAACGAGAGGCTCAAGATCAGCAAGAGTCCCAAAGAAAAGAACTTGAAGATTCGCCTGGAGAAGGGTGAGAAGCTGGTGGATTCGCACAATGGGATTGAGCTCAAATGGAGATTCGTCTGCGCAGAGTCTAACAACAACAACCGCCATGATTTAGACATCGCTTCTAGAACGGAAAGGCGATACTTCGAGTTGAGTTTCCACAAGAAGCACAAGGACACGGTGTTGAAATCTTATCTTCCCTTCATCCTCGAGACAGCCAAGACGATGCGAGACAACGAAAGGATATTGAAGATGCATACTTTAAACACCTCCTACTGTTATCCGGGGGTCAAGTGGGATTCTGTCAACCTCGAACACCCCTCCACCTTCGAGACCCTGGCTATGGAGCCGGAGCTGAAGAATGCTGTGATAGAGGATCTGAATAGGTTCGTGAAGAGGAAGGAGTTTTACAAGAGAGTCGGGAGGGCGTGGAAACGCGGCTACTTGCTGTATGGACCTCCGGGTACCGGGAAATCGAGCTTGATCGCTGCCATGGCTAATTACTTGAAGTTTGATATCTATGACCTTCAGCTTGAAAACATCGCGAGAGATTCGGACCTCAGAAAGCTGCTTCTGGCCACTGCTAATAGGTCCATTCTAGTGATCGAAGACATTGATTGTAGCGTGGATCTGCCAGAGCGCCGCCACGGAGAAGGACGTAAGCACACCGGCGAAGCACAGGTTGGTTGTTAATTACTACTTACTACCGAATTATCAAAGAAAACTGAACTGAAATTTAATTACACACTTACACAACTCGCTTATATTAGAGTTCACTGAATTATTGTAGTCCAGGGTAAAGAATTCTTGGCCTGAAACGGGTGGTTCTTCTTCGTTCCCCGAAATCCAACAAAACCCAGGCACGTGATGGGTTCTGAATTCTGATTTTGAAAGCTTGCGCTCCTTTGCTATCAAACCTTTTTTCCTCTTCCTCGGGCAAGTGGAAGCATCAAAGGGTGGTGCGTGGGGGGGCACGGTGAATTCCCGTACGAGGCATAATGGGGGCGAGAGAGTTTTGGTTTTCGGTGGAATTTATTAATTAATTAGTTGCATGCCCCCATTGATTGAATTTTTATGAAAAGAGATAACCATATATAGCATCACCGTGCAATAGACATCCTTTGGCTATCATTGGTGAGAGAATGAATAGGCGTTTGGTTCGAGGGTCGCTGTTGTTTTGTTGGATGGTGGACGCCACAAAAAGGACCGTCCTTTGTGTAAAGCAACGAATGTGACCATGCTTTCCCATAAAATACTAAAACCCTTCACTCCCAAAAATATAACGCCACTATCACTGCTTTAGAATCTAAATGCTGACAACGCAGCCTGTCTGTGTGTGTGTGTGTGCAGTTGACGTTGTCTGGGTTACTGAACTTTATAGACGGGCTTTGGTCAAGTTGTGGAGATGAGAGGATCATTATATTCACCACCAACCACAAGGAAAGACTAGACCCAGCTCTGCTGCGTCCGGGTAGAATGGACATGCACATTCACATGTCCTACTGCTGCTACCATGGCTTCAAGCTGTTGGCCTCAAATTACCTGGGAATTTCCAGTGACCAGCACCAGCATCTGTTTGCAGAAATAGAAGGGCTCATAGAGGACACCCACATAACCCCTGCTCAAGTAGCAGAGGAGCTGATGAAGAGTGAAGACTCTAAAGACGCGCTTGAAGGGTTAGTGAAGTTGCTTAAGCGCAAGAAAATGGAAGGCGATGTGTGTGAGAATGATGTCCCAGAGAAATCATTGATACGGGAAACCAAGAAGAGAAGAGTTAATTGCAAGCAGGGCAAAACCGTGGGCCTGGGCAAGAGGAATGGTGGGAGTACACCGAGAAGGACAAGAAGAGGAACTAGCTTGTAAACATTTAGGTAGATGGAAAGCAATAATCATGGACCAGTGTTTTCCAATAATAAAAATTGGTGATGTAGCATGTAGGTGTCGGCTTTTCGCTGGATGCTTTGCTGTGCGGCCTTCTTTTCTTTCACATTCGTGTTTCAGGTTTATATGCTATGGTCACAACGCACGAGTCACAGCAAAAGAAAGTGTCAAGAATTGGCTATTTAGAGTAATAGAACGCGTCAGATCCTCGCTTCCTTATGTGGTCGTCCAAACAGACACGCACACCCTGCTTTCTTTTTTTTTTTTTTTAATTTCAAGAAGGCAAGCTTAATGCTTGAAGAAAGTTACGTCACGGACAAAGATAGAAAATAAACCCAACAGAGTAAATTAACTAATCACAGTCATTCTGCAGCAAGATCCTGCAAGCATCAGGGATCATGTGCGCACCATCATCAAGTTCTCGCCTATTCCATGAGCCGTCCCGCTTAATTCCAAGGGAAGTTCCTTTCTTTTGCAATTTGATAATCTCATCTCATCCATCTGCGTCTCTACCTGCATGTTTCCTCAAACGGATGAGTATATTGAAGCAAAGCAAGAGGAGAATGAAAGGTTTGCTGTGTATAAAAGAGGTCCAACTACCAAAGCTATGAACTAATATAAAATAACATTAATAATACAATCAGAATCCCAAAGTCGTTCTGCAAGAATATCAACCGACAAGGAAAGAAACCCCACTCCCAAAAAAAAGAAAAGTCGTGGCCTGGAACTCATCTATAAGGAGGAAGAACCAGGATTTTGTCACCCTCTGTTCTGTTTTCCTTCAGTGAGAATTAAATTTAGATAACAAAGCTCCCCTTCTGTGAATGATGTAGTGACTAGTAAATGAAAAGGAAAAAAAGTGTTTGTAAATTGATGGAAAAGGTGTACTCTCTCCTATTTAAAACATAAGAATTTTTTTAATTAATCTTGGTTCAAAATTGTCTTAATACGTGTAAAAATTATTTTTCTCATTTTATTCCTTGCACCCCTAATTTTTGTATAAAGTTACCTTTCACTCATCCTAAAATACTTTGTTAATTGAAACTAAAGGTAAAAAAAGTATATATTTCCGTAAAAATAAAATTTTTATTAGTATGCAGTTTTTTGCTAAAAGAACTGATTATATTATGAATGGGAGGGGGTATATTGGTTTAATTTGGATGCCAGTGGCATTGACCTCATGACTGTGGTTCTTACTTCTGTTTCTCCCAACAGTCTTACGATATTTTGAGTCGGCTTATGGCCTAAAGCCCACGTGTAATTTATCAAAGGGCCGAAGTTGCCCATTCTCTAACGGTTGAATCGCTTATTTCGCAGTTTGATCCACGCTCCGATGGCCTCATGTGATTACACAGACTAAATCATAATTATAAGTAGAATATCTTAAAAGGTTTAGGGAGAATTATAATTAAGTTCCACATAAAAAAATTAATTACTGTAAAGTTTATTAATAACTGAATTAAACTGTATTGATAATATAATTAATTATCAATATAATTTGATTGTGTTGTTAGTACAGTATAATTTAATTGTTAATAAATTTTATAATAATTAATTTGTTTTATATGAGATTTTAATATAATTGTTTCAAAGGTTTATAGTTTATCGAACCGCATGCCTCAAATCATCACTAGAAGTGCATGTTGGCAAAAAAGAAAAAAAAGAAAAGAAAAGAAAGTGCATAGAAACATTATATTATTGACAGGGTTGAGATGTGCATGGGATTGGCGTATAGGCAGGTAGACGGAACAAACGTCCGAATCAACGAGGGAGGAGCTTAGTTGAAAAAAGTTCCACGTGGCTTGAGTAACGCAGACGGACACGCAGTGCAGGGAAACTGGGTAGAGCAAAGCTGCAAACGAAGTAGCCACACGTCTCGGCAAGGCCACTGCCAACTTCTCCGTCCTTCTCTCTCTGTTATTCTCGAATTAGCAAATTCCACAATGCGGAGTGATGCTGAGGCTTCGTCAACATTTTAATTTGTTTTTTAAACGGAAACTCCTTTCCCTTCTCCCTCTCTCCCCCTCTCTTATATTTTGCATCCCTCCTCATTCACTCTCTTTTCTCTTATTGCCCCTCCTGGGAGCCTTCCTCTCTCTCCGCCATTTTCTCATTTCACAAATATAAGTACCCCTCTCTCTCTCTCTCCGCTTTTCTTCTTTTGCAAGAGGTAAATTCTTCATTTCTCCCCTGCTTCCCATTTAGTTTGTTAAATCAACCCAATGACGTATATGTGCCACTTCTTTCTTCCCTTTTTTTTTACTTTCAAATTTCTGTTTCTGATTATATACCTCATTGGGCATCAATTGGATTTATCAGGGGACCTTGAGAGTGATTTTAAAGAGCTCTGTTTTTTTTTTTATTCATAGGAGTTCTGTAAATTTTTGGTGCTAATACATGTATACATTATTATTTTTTTAATTACGTCGATTTTTTAGTTGTTGGCTCCTGAAACCATGTGTTTATGATGTGTTCTTGGAAGTTCTTAGAATATTGTGTGTTGATCGACTATTGGTGGGATTGCAGTGGAGGATGTGAGGCCCTTTGTTTTCCTCCTTGCATGATATGAGTGCTTGTTCTTCTGCCCTACTGTAAAGCCAGCAGAGCTGAAGCTATCTATTTACGCGACGTAATGTCTGGACCTCTGTCTCCCAAATCAGGTAAAGTAATCGAGGAGGCATCTGGTACCCCTGCTTAGCTAGTAGAAATGTACAATTTTATGACAAGAGCAGAATGTACCCGCTCTTTAGAAACTCAATCATTCGGGAATTGTTTTTTCATCCTGCATTGCAGAAAGTGCTGCTCATTGCATTCACATATAATTTTCCCCCCAGGTTTGTTGCCAGCACTCCGCAATCATTCAATCATTTAAAGAACTAATCGATCTCTGATGGTAGATAATAATCGTATTATTATGCTTGCAGCTCTTGAAAATTCTGATTCTAGGTCTTTCGAGAAGAAAGCCATGAGCGCCTCGAACATGCTCAGGAATTCTTTGACAAGAAAGGGCAAGCGAAGTAGCAAGGTCATGTCTGTGGAAATAGAAGATGTCCATGATGCTGAGGAGCTGAAGGCTGTTGAAAATTTTCGTCAAGCTCTTGTGTTGGATGAACTACTCCCTGCGAAGCACGATGATTATCACATGATGCTCAGGTTACTCTCTTGCTCTGACCTTAATTTTTCGTACATGTTTCCAATTTTGTTAATAGCAGTTCCTTTGCACTAATATTAATAAGAACTGGATTTTTCTTCCTTCCTAAAACTTTTCTTGTAAGTAAATGGTGTTAGCTAGAATATATCTCGTAAGAGTTAAAAAAATTTTCACATGTGCCATTTAATTGCCGCAAAATAGCTTCCACACTCTGCCCGGACTCTCGGGAGTGTGCGTACTTAATTTAGTTATATGCTTGTATTTTTCTGTACAGATTCCTGAAGGCCAGGAAATTTGAAACTGATAAATCAAAGCAAATGTGGTCCGACATGCTCAATTGGAGGAAGGAGTTTGGTGCTGACACAATCCTGCAGGTATTTGTTGCACCAACATTTTCTGAGGCTTAATGGGAATTATTAATATTTTAAATAGTCGCACATCATTAACACCCTTGCTTTCTTAGCACCCTTATTGCGTGCGGAATATTTTTACCACGCACTTCTTACTGAATTTTAATTTAATTTTGTGGGAATCCTTTATGCCAGGATTTTGATTTCAAAGAACACAGTGAAGTCTTGAAATATTATCCTCAGGGACATCATGGAATAGATAAAGATGGAAGACCTGTGTACATTGAGAGATTGGGCCTGGTAGATGCCACTAAGCTGATGCAAGTTACAACCATGGATCGCTACATCAAATACCATGTACAGGAGTTTGAAAAGACATTTGATATAAAGTTCCCGGCTTGTTCGATTGCTGCAAAGAAGCACATTGATCAAAGCACTACCATTTTAGATGTGCAAGGAGTGGTATGAATGAGAAATTATGTCATCATTGATGCAATTTTAAGCATTCATACAATTGATTGTAAATCAACAGTATATGATAAAATGCCAATGTTTATTTAGTTCACCTTTTTGGCAGCGTGCTAAAGATATTATTTGAGTGACAAAATGAATTCTCGTTTCCATGAGAAAGAGCGCTTTGGAAAATAGGGAGGGAAAATCAGACTTATAGTCATGTATTAAAATGCAGGGGCTTAAAAACTTTAGTAAGGCAGCCAGGGAACTTGTTACTTGCCTTCAAAAGGTTGACGGCGACAATTATCCAGAGGTAAGCTTTCCCTCTTTTTTATCTATATTTACCAAACAATGTTATTCTGAACATGTCATATTGTCATTAAATTGGTTGCTTCACTGCAGACCTTGAATCGCATGTTCATCATCAATGCAGGTTCTGGATTCAGAATGTTGTGGAACACTGTGAAGTCCTTCCTTGATCCTAAGACCACAGCAAAAATCAATGTGAGCATACACTTTTGTCCAAAACCTGATAGGTATTTCAGGCAACTAAACTAAATTTAATCATTTGAAACCTTTAATTAATCAGGTTCTGGGCAACAAGTTCCAGGGCAAATTGCTTGAACTAATTGATGCCAGGTGAGCTCATGAACAGGTTATTTTTTAGTAGTAATTTTTTTTCCTTTTTTCACGAGTATTTGATGCCTACTTTCATTGTGTCTAAATTTTACTCCAAAACTTGGTTGCCAGTGAGTTACCAGAGTTCTTAGGAGGTACTTGTACATGTGCTGATCAAGGAGGCTGTATGAATTCTGATAAGGGTCCATGGAAAGATCCAGAAATAATGAAAGTAGGCTTTTAAGCTTTTTTTGTTTTCACTCTTTTTTTCCTTGCTTCTCTTTATGTGGTTTCAGCCAATAGGATTTAGCAAGCTTTCATATGTTATATATGGACTTGCAGATGGTTCAGAATGGCGATCATAAATGCTCAAGGAAAAGTGAGTCTCATTCTGTGGAAGAGAAGACAGCTTCTCCTAAGGTCTTTACTAATCTTTGATGATTCACTTGCCCTTCATTTTGTCTTGCTTTTGTAAATGCTGTGGTTGTCTCCATCTTATATTAATTTTCCTTTATGACCTGTGCTGCTTTTCATCATTGATTGACTTTCTAACTATTTATTACATATATGCAGAAGTCTTCCATCACGGACCACTCTGATCGCCCACAACCATCTCCTGCTCGTGATGAGGTATGCTATTGTCCATGTTTAATTTTACTATAATACAAAAATATCGTGATTTTATTTCAGTCCTTTGTTGAGCTCTAACATTTTACAAAAAATGGTACTTGCTTAAATAATGTGCTAATGGGTAAGCATGAATCTGAACACTTCAGACAAAGTTTTCATGTTGGTTGTTGACATCCGAGGATGTCCTTGTAAATCACCAAAAATAAACCAATTTAGTATTTTCCCCTGAATTGATACTTAGTTTATAAAAATCTGTGTTATATATTTCAAGTAATTAGGTTTTAGATTTGAACTGTAAGTTTTGGTAACTTTTAGGTTTACACAGGAAGTTGTTTCTGGCTCCGAACCTACGCAGTTTGTAGGTCTTTGGAGTTCCTTTGTCATTAGTTGTCCTCCTTGTATTTATTTTCTTTGGTACCCCTCAGATTTTAACTTACCGAAAAAATGCATAACCTCCTCAGGTCCCCGCTAAGCGAGCCAGCAAGAAAGAGGACATTATCCCAGTGAGTGATAAAACTGCTGGGAAGAAAGTAGAAGATAATGTTAAATTTGAAGCATCTAGAGGTACATCTGGATAGTTACACATTTCTTTTTCAACTCTATTTGATTACACACGTGCCTTGTTAAGACTTAAATGATTGAATATTTAAGAAACCTTGTAAATGCATGCTTACTTCCCTTCGCAATCCACACCTCCCCCCAGCTGGGCTTGTTTTCCTCGGGTTTAAGGTTATCTGGATTTAATTTGCTGTAAGTTAAACAGTCAGTGACAAGCCACATCATTTTTTAGTATACATGACTGGCATGGGGAAGAGGAATTAAGACGCAGTATCTTTTTGACCTGCTGGGAGTGATTTGTTTGTTCGATACATTTTATTAGTCTAGTCACCTCATTCTTTCTAGGAAGGAGAAATATAATTCTATAGCCTATTCTCTTCATAGTGAACGCCTTTATAACACTAACACAATTATATGACATGTAAATATATATACGCGTATTGTTTATGTATAAACTATTGAGTGCAATCAAACACTTAAGGATTTAGAGAAATTGTTAGGTAGGTGTCAGAAAAAATATTTAGGCTGGAAAATAACTTGTCGTGCTATGTTAATGTGGTCAACTTTTTATCTTGCCTCTTCCAATTTTCTCTGCCTTTGATGAACATTAACCCGATTTTCTGTGGAGCTATCCATTGTCCCACTGTTCGGTTAGTTCCCCAGACAGTACCTATCTAACTGATCTTTTGGATATCCCACTCGTGATCCCAAAATTCTGAAGTATACATTGTCTTTGTCGAAGTATTTGTGTGGGCAATCCTCATATCTTCCTCTTTCCTTGCCATTTGTAATTTGAATTGCCTATACCTTTCTTTAAATTATGGCTGGAGAAGATGTTTACGCCATGGCTGATTCGTGCAAGAATTGCGAAAAAGTAAATTCCCAGATTTTGTCTGGCCTTATGGCCTGTTGTGGGTACCGTCACCATGGTCAGAACGAAACGTGACATGCACAAGAAGCTCACTGATGCCAAGTTCTGCTCCAATTCCGTTTACTCTGCTAGCTCAATGTTTAAAAGGCAGGTCCCTTCTGACCAATTGCCTGCCCCTACCCTCTCAACTGCAGAGTTTATGGCTGTGATGAAACGCATGGCTGAGTTGGAAGCGAAAATGAGCACTATGAACAAACCCGCTTCATTGCCGCCCGAGAAGGAGGAAATGCTGAATGCCGCTATATCCCGAGCTGATATTTTGGAGCAAGAACTTAATGCCACAAAGAAGGTCAGTATAGCTGAATTCCATGAAACGTTGTATGTACTCCCTCCAGTCCTAATTTACCAAGATTGAGGAAATTAGTTATTTCTGAAAAAATGTGTTGGTTTCTCTAAAATATACCTTTAATAATTTATATTGGAAACTACCCCTTTTGATGAAATCCCTTTTAATGTGTCATGAAATCAATAGGTATAATTTAGGAAGAAAATTATAAATTTGGATGACAAAATAGATTGGGATCTCACATTTTGGATCAAGCAAGCCCCTCAACTACATTATTTTGCTACGGCCCTGCTAAATTGAAATCCAAACGGATAAGCGGAATTGAAACAGCAATAAACTGCTCTTGTGTTAGTCCGAATAAAGTAGATTCAGAAGAACTGAAATAACTGAATCATGGAAACATATCTTCTGTGCCAACCTCCCCCACAACCCCCCCCCAAAAAAAAAACCCCAAAAACAGGGACCCACCAAAGGTTCTGGTTTGATAGCACTATTTTCTCAGGCTTTGGAGAGTTCCCTTGCACGACAAGAGGAGCTTTCGGCTTATGTTGAGAAGAAGAAGAAGAAGAAGAAATTGGTACACTACCAATACCTTCACTTTTTTCTTGACGAGCTATCAATACGGCAATGCCTTAACTTTTCTGTACTGTCATTCGTGAATTGAATATTCATTGGATTTTTTATTTTTTTTTGGTTGGCAATATTAATATTTGGTTCTCTAATGCTGCAGTTCGCCTGGTGAGGGAGAAATGGTAAATTTTCATAGATGCGACGTGCACCGGGAAGGGAATTAATTTGTACTTGGTAGAGATTTCCCGTCTGGTCTGTTTAATTTTCATCAAGCGGACTACTACTGTGAAAGTGATGCCTCTCTATATATACTTATATACATAATGAAAATTTTGACCTCAAATATTATTGTCTTTTACTTTTCTAGTCGTAAAAAACCTTGCAAAGCCTGTCAATTTTGTTGCTAGACAGCGGCTGCAGTGGTAATCATATCTTAGGATGTTTCAAATAAACATATATAAACATCCAAATGCCCATGTTCATTTGCCGAGTAACTTTTTTTCAGTAGTGTATAACTGTATATGTTAAAATATCCATATATAACATTCAATTTATATCAGTTACGTTATTTATAAGATATGAATAATGCAACTCACTTCAAGCTTGGGCGAGAAAGTGCGTCTAATTCAAATCTATACACTAACTTGAAATGTTCAGAAAAACAAATCTGCTTATAGGAGGGCAAATGGTGGTGAAGAAAACAAATCTGCTTATTGATATACACACAGAAAATGAATCAATAACTAGTCCAAGTTATGGATATATGAAGCGTAGGAAAGGGGAACAAGGCAGAGGCCTCTGCTTCTGAGGTCTGGCTTCGATTCTCTGCTCTTTTCCTCTCTAAAATCCTGTAACTGTGGCCAAACTAAACAATTTTAGATCCATCTTGCAACGTGATGACGAACTTCAATCAATAATGATAATCCCATCCCATAATGTCATTTAGCTATGATTTTCTCAGCCCTAACCAAACCGCCTTTAATTTTATTTCTTTGTTTGAAGATAATAGCTATCTCAGATTATAAAGGCTTTTCATACTTGGCGGCTAAATATGCACACAACGTATTACAAACTGTACCGTTCGGAGGCGCTTGGTCTTCGATGACTTCATATAAGATATGCTCAGAGTCTGCAGCGATGAAATAGCTTTAGACTAGTCTCAACAGCTCAATAAATATTGGCCAAAAAAAAAAACAAACAAACACCATCGATAAATTAGACGATTCTTTGCTTGCCTCACTCTCCACAAGACCCCAGTTATTCCCGCCCCCCCAACCCAAAAAAAAAAAAAAAATCCCCGAAGAAAGTACTGATAACTTTCCCCCTCTCAGATCTATTGGCACGTTAACACGCAACACCGTGATTAACTAATGAGTTAGTTTCAATTACTTGAGGCACTCCTCGATTGGAATCTTGTTTCTAAGTTATAAAAAATGACATAAGAAAAAAAAGATTAAAATATAGACTAAAATATACTTTTAATCATGTAATTTTATATAAAGTTTCAATTTAATCCTTTAATTTTATAAAATATTTTTTTGATCCTTTAACCCCAACATCATTAGTTTTAAATAATTACTTTTTATATCAATCATTATTATTTTATAAAAAATTAAACTTAATATGTTAATATTTAAAAATATTTTGTCAATATTTAAAAATTTAATATAAAAATTTGTTGGAATAAAATTAATAGCGTTAGGATTAAAGAATTAAAAAATAATTTATAAAATTAAGGGATTAAAATGAAACGCGGTGTAAAATTAAAAAATAAAATAAATATTTTACTCTAAATATATACACTCGCGTACATATGAATTACTACCATTTCAAATTAGGCAACATTTCTGAATATTAAAATTAAAGAAGACTTTGTTCTTGATCAATTCGTCACACACGCGTTTGTTACTAATTCCTAATTTATGAAAGTTAATTACTCTATTTGGCTAAAGTATACTTTATTCTTTATAGCTTTATATAATATTTTATTGTAATTATATAATGTTTTCACTCATTTAATTCTAATATCGTTAGTTTTATTAAGAAAAAATTCATTTATTAAATTTTTAGATATTAATAAAACATTCTCAAATATTTACATAATTAAGTTTTCTTTTTCACAGTAAAAATGTTTGGTATAACGAAGAATCATTTAAAATTAATGATATTAAAATTAAAATGAAATTTTATATAAAATTAGAGAATAAAAATACAGTGTAACCACCTTGTTTTAATTTTAGCGATTGGATATTATTTTCCAGATACCACTGTCATCTTGGTTATTGCGGAGGGAAAAAAGTGAAGATGTTGAAAACCTGTATCTGGCCATGAAGGAAGTGGATGTAGCCTACAGTTTCATCCAATACGGAGGCAGTATTGGTCTGCAAATAAAATAGACAAATGTAAAAATGATCAAACAGGCATTAGATTCTTAAAAGTGAAGTTATATTTTCTTGGTAGAAAAAATTAATTTGTTACCACTTGTAATTTCTTTAACCACAAACATTCAGAGACGACGAACGGACGGCGCACGTACCTTCCCAGAAGGTGCCACTAACTTCTGAAGTGCTTGAATCCTGTCTCCTAGCCTTTCCTTTCTCACCTGCTCAATCTTACACCATCTCATCATTCTATAATGGAATTCAAAGCAACAGTCATTTGAATTCTTCAGTTATACGAATAATCACTATTAACATATTGCCACCACCTTTAGGGGAGGGCACGAAGGTCTCGACTTGGCTTTTGCTTCGTATTCCTTCAGCTGAGAGCAACTGCGAGACGTTTTCGCCCCTGCAACCCCGCTCACTGATGCTGAAAACTATCATTTTACTTCAAACGTTAATTAGGTATATATATCTATATATAATTATTGTAAGCTACTAGCTAGGAGGCCGGTTAATTAACAATTAATGATTTAATTAGCTATATCGTCAGAATTAGTACTGATTAACCGAGAGAGGAAGTCTGCTAGTTAGTTTCATCAGCACCCTCTTCTCTGGCAATATAATTTAGGGCACAAGGTTTAAATGAAGAGGAAGAAACACACACACACTCACTCACTTTGTTTGAGCTGTTCGATGGACTATTTTCTCGCCGTTGCACGTCGTCGTCGAGACCTAAAGCATCGCAGGAAAGACCAAGGCCACGAGAACTGCCGCCCAGCAACATTTGTGAACTTGAATCGAGAGAGCATGACAGCAGTGAAGAAGGAGACATCTCGGGGGCTGATAAATTGGAGCTTGACGACGAAGACGCTGCACCGAAGGTGTTGTACGACGTTGTCTTATTGGATAGGGCTGCCCCTCCATCAATCGGTCTCTTCTGAAGGTGACACAGCAGATCATAATTCCCTGCAGGCCAAATCTCTTTTGCAGTCACATGAGAATGTTTACTGATTGGTGATGAGACTGGTGAATCGTTGTTCGCACAAGCACTAGATAGGCTGCTTATCATCATTTCACAGAGTCTGGGTAAATAATTCTTAGACACCTCGTCTTTTATTCTTACAACATTAAGCACGCCGTCGCCGGATGAACGTTGAGGACGATCGAAATAATCTTCTTGCCCTTTTTCTCTTAAATATATTTCAGTGCTTTGCCTGCTTTCGGCAAACGAACTGCCATAACCATTGCTGCAAAAGAAAAGAAAAGAAAAGAAAAGAAAACAGAAAAGCCCGCACATACAGAGAGATACATATGAGCCAATGAAAACGAGTGACCGAGAAATTATTTGGCGAACCATAATGCACTTGCAAAAGGAAGAAGAGATTTTTTTCTGTGCAAGTTAAAGGTGCAATAGATAATGACACGATTTCTACTTACCATGAGTTGCTCGAGTTCCATGCTTCGCAAGCAATGGAAGGTTTATTGTAGCGAGCGTGTTCTTGAAGCTGATGCTGAAGGCGGAAATCCCTATAGTCCATATAGTTTCAGAACTATCAAAGATGCGGAGACGATGGAATGAAAATTTTGAACTGAAAAGGCTAGCTGGCAGGCTTGAGAAATGTTTCACTTTGCACAAGATCCGTAACAACTGAGAAATAAACCCCAGCAACGTCTCGCTTGCTCTTACTGGAGAAATACTCTCTTTTGAGAAACCCAAAAGCAACTGAACATAATCCTAGAAACACGCCCTGACGACCACGTGGGGAGGGCTTTGTGATTGCACAGTTTTCTCTAGATCACTCTACCGTCGAATGGGCTTTATATATAATTAAGATTGGGATGTCAGGAAAGAAAGCTCATGAATAACATGCTCATTTTACAGCTTCGGCTAGACATTTGCAACTCCCGAAAAAACAAAACCGCGCTCATTTCTCTTCATTGAGTGGGCCCGTTTTCATGCGTATGTAATATACTCCCTCCGTGCCAAAATTTTAAATTATAAAATACTTTTAAAAAAAATTTTCTCTCCCCAAATATAAAATAATTTAATTAAATTAAAATTTTATTAAATGTTTCAATTTTAATATTATTCTTTCTCTTTTTATAATTAATTTTCATCACTTTTTTTGAATATGTTAAATAATGAGCATTTTGAAAAGTTTATATTTTTATTTTAGAAAGATAAGGTTGTTAAATGTACCTAATGAGATTTATTAGTATATGAGATTTTATCTAAAAGTGTCTTATAATTTGGGGGGGAGAGTAATAAGTTTGGAGTAACTAATTTTTGGTGGCATAATATTTAAAAAAAGAAGGAGCCATTTGACTATTCATCTAGAATTAACTAACTACTTTAATTACCGACCAAGTATGCATGAATAGAATTTAGAAACATTACTTGTAGTCCTGTACTGTTGCTTTAGTTAATTAGAAATAACTGATCTATACTTCCTTCGCCTCTTCGTGTAGGGGCGAAGCTGAAAATTTTTATCAGGAGATATGGCAAAACAGACATGATAATTAAAAGAAAGTTAAATAAAAATACATACATATGTGTATGAATGTATGCATATTACTAACATAATATAATTATTTCAATATATATACTCAATTTTATAAATATATGTACCTTCATTTTTTAAATTTCACTTATTGATTTTTCATGGTATAAAAATCATTAATTATCATATTCACGATAAATTTTTAGCAAATTCCTTTTTCATATAAACTATCATTAAATTGATGAAAATTTTATCTTCTCTACAAATATTAAATGATTTAAATGCATCCTTAAAATTTAAAATTTTACTGGATCTAAAAAACTCTATTACTTACTTGCTGAATTTACTATTTAATTCTTTCAATTAATAATTTAAGTAAATAAATATATCAACACGTTAATGAGATCAAATATAACCTCTTAGCATTTGAATAAGTAATTTTATGATAAATAGCATGCATGTAACATTCAATATATATCTTGAAATTTTTGTTGCTATAATAGACAAAGTTTATTAGTAATAATTCTCATAACTTATTTTATCAAATATAAAATAAAAATAAAATCAAGTAACATTAATGCTTTAAGAACATGTGTAACATTATCTTGTTGAAAATAAATAAATCCTACAACAATTATATATCTTCAAGCTAATAAAATAGTTGCATTATATATAAAGAAAAGACTACATGTATAAATGGAATATTAAAATAAAAATTATATCTATTATCTTAAGGCTTCTGTGACAATATGCCAATCTAAAGAGTTGAAAAAATATATAATTTTTATATTTTATTAAAAGAAAATTAAAAAGTTAGGATGGCCTCCCACCGTCTTTACCTTTGTCTTCGTGCCCTTTGCGTGTTTTTTTAATGGCCACGGTAAAACATCATTGTTAATTACCTGGCATAAAAGTGAAACTGATGATCAAAAGCATAAGATTAATTTTCTTTTATTTTTATGAGATTAGTCTTATAGAGGCCAAAAGTTTGCTCTCGCGCTGTCCCATAGGAAGTGAACAGCATGTACTAATATCACATGACGATTCTCGTAGTGCTGATATTTGATGATTAAGAAGTGGAAGAAAACTTACAACATTATTTTGATAAATTATTAAAGCAGCATAAGTTAGGGTGGGTTGGCCGAGCCTTGTCATAAAATAATTCGGTACACAATATGGGATCCACGTTGGATGCATTCAATTAATATTAATAATTAATAATATATATCAAATACTGATAATTATATTAAAGAATATAATTAACTAGCTGGGTCGAAGTGGCCTCTACCCATAATAATAAGTATTCAATTATTGTTAGCACATATTTGACTCGTTTATGTGTTCCCGTAATTTACAAAAGCTTACGCCCCCGAATCATCATTTGTTACTCCCTCCGTTTCATTTGATTTCATGTTTCACTTTCACAGTGTAAGACATTAAAAAAAAAAAACAATGATCTATTAATAAAATTTATTTTTTAAAATTAACTCACATTATTATATTTTTTAAATATATTTATTTCTCTCCTTTCCTTACTAGATGAAGGATATTTTACAAATTATATTTTATTAAGAAATAATTAAGATTATAAATTGTATTAAATTATTTTTATTTGTTTTCACAATCTTGCCAAAAAAGCCTTATAAAGCGGAGGGAGTATTATTAATTGGATAATTAAGAAAAAAATTATTCATTATAATTTTTGTAGAAAGAGATAACATCATATACTGTAAAATAAAATATAAACATGGAAAGCATGAAAAATAGACATGAATCGGTAATAAAAGGAAAAGCGCTAAAGTTTATGGCAATATAATATAAATAGCCAATGCCCATTGGCATGTAAAGGACAATATTCCCTTCGCATTTGCGGAGTGATTGTTTTTTATTAACTTGTCATCACCTTTATTATGCTATTCAAAGTGCAATTGCAATTACCCCATTGGGTATCACAGATTATGACAGGATTTAATTAATTAAGAAATGGGGGGTGGGGAACAAAAGGAGAGGCCGAGCGCAGCAGGGATCAAAGTGGGGAAAACAAGACAAAAGCAGCACACGGCTGCGCAAAATCAATTTGATATTGGGGCCTTGTTCACTCAATGATTCACCTACGATCTGTCTATTAATTAATTAATTCTTTCTTTTGCTAATTACTGGTACTTTATTAGTTATTTTACTATCGGCTTCACAAACAGTCCGGCACTATTTGGAGTTTCTACACGCAAATCTTGGCACGTAGGGTGGAATCTCTAAATTTTCTTGTGCTATGTGTCTATGAAGCTATCTATATAATTACTCCATTCTCTTTATATATAAAATATTTTTAATCAAATCATATAAATTAATAAAATTTAATTATTTAATTAAAAGTACAATTACATTCTAATTTTATCTTTAATTATTATAATAAAAAATAAATTTATTTTTTTATCTAATTAAAAATATAATGACATTCTAATTTTATCTTTAATTATTATAAATAAAAAATAAATTTATTTTTTAAAATAAATTAATGAGAGTGTTAATTTTTTTCTCTTTTTAATTTAATAAAGATATAATAATTCATTCATTAAAAAAATACTAACAACCTCTTATATTTAAATATTAAAAAAAATTAAAAGATTTTTTATATATAAAAATAAAGGAAGTACATAGGAACTACAATTTCTCTCCTATTACTGAACTAGACTGCCTCCCAAGCGTTGCACAAATTATATGTAAGATAATTGAGTGAATAACCTTAAACATTAACATGTACAATATATCAATAAAAATTCTAATGTTCCTTCGTTAAATAAACTTATGAACATTAAGATTCATTTTTTGAAAAAAAAATTAATGCGGAAAATAATGTACTTTTTTAAAGTATTTGTAATATATTGAACATAATTATATATTTATTATTTTGATTTCATGTTGATAGCGTGTTTTTAGAAAAATTATCATACTAATTTTTTTCATTGAAATTGTATATAATTATGTCTTATAACTTAAATATGAGAGACTTAAACTATGTGTGTTGCTGATCTGAGTATAGTGATTATTATTAAGGCATAATATAGTAATTACACATTCTTGTAATGGATAAAATGGTTTTCTTTAAATTGAACAGTTGATATAAGAAAATTGTTCATCCTAATCAATTTTCTTAAATCAAACCCGTGTCTTTAAAATGCCCATGCAACTGGTCATATAAATATAAGAGGAATTTTTTTAATAAAAAATTAAACTAAAGATTAGAAAACTAATATGATATTAAAATGATATTAAACAAATTATTTAGTTCAGCATCACCATGGGCACCATCTCTGTCATGGTCACATAGGACAAATATTCACTTCAAGGCCTGTACATATCAAGGCTTCAGAGTCTGTGATTCCTGATCAAATAACGGAGTTAAATGAAGAATAGTCTTCTGGACATAGTAGAAAACCTTACAAACCTATTAAAACGTGTTAGTCAATTATTTCAAGAATCCATTTTGAATGTCAAAAAAAAAAAAAAAGTTCTAACTCACTAACTTAATAGTGATGTGTCGGGGTTAGGGTATCCACTTCCACTGGGGTTAAACATGCCACAAATAAGAAATTATTTCTTCAATCAAACAGGTTAATATTTCCCACTCTGTCTTTAATACCTTTTCAAAGTACTACTCCTAGCCAAGGAAAAAAAAAGATACTCACATTTAAAAAATTCTAAACACAGAATAATATAAACGATGTCTACAAATTATAGTCGCTCACAACATTCAATATCATGCTTGAAGACCAGAAACAGGAAAAAGTGGAATATTTGGTAAGATAAAAACTATCAAGTAAATCAAAACAGAATACAATGCGTAATCTTGATTACTGGTTTTTCATTATTCACCAAGGTATGTTGTAATTTTTTGTGGCTAAAATTACAGTAAATGAAATGAGTGG